CCATTGGCGAGATCGCCAATGGCCAACGCCAAGGCGAAGCTCGGCGCTGGCCAATCGCTACTGTCGGCGATCTCGCCAACTTTCTCCCCGAATGTCGCAGGAATCGAGTCCCTTTTCCTGAAGATGGCGAATGTCCATCAGCATTGAGCTGCTCAAACAAATTCGAGAGACTCAATCGATCGCACAAAGTATATGGGATTCTGTGAGAGTTTTCTTTCCAGAGAGAAAAGCATCTTTAGTGACAAAGACCGCCGGGGCTCTCAGATTGAATTGTCCAAAAACAGGCTCCGCCTTAGGGCCCAGTCCACGCGAATACCAGCAAGGTTCCATTGCCAATGTCGGTCCGAGCCCTTTTCGCGTCGTCTCAGGTACACGTGAAAAATCTCTTTATCGGCTGTTTGGAGACGGATCAATTTTTCCTTGAGGATTTATGGTGGCGGTTTTCTTTCCCACTTCTGAATGGTTCTCTGGGCGTCTGGACTTAATCGGATATAACCCCGCTTACGTTGTTTGTGTGGATATAAAGGCTTATTGGAGGGAAGGCTAGCATTCTAAGGTCTCCACTGTTTATCGCTTTCTCGTGGTCGTACGCAAACAGAACCCTTCGTGAAGAATTACATATGCGTTTTCTCTCATCACCGTTTTATCTTAACCCTTTCAGACGCCAATCGTTATTTCCGGAAAGAAATTTTTTTTTTGTGTCTGAAATATCAATTTACAACCAAATCAGACGAAATCACGTGCAACTTACAGGAAAATCATATATTTGTTTTACAGACATGTACGCAATTGTGTACAAAGCGTCTCAAAGGTCATCCCAAGCAGCACATTACGACCGGCTCAAGCTTGAGCCAGACTGGGTAGCCGGGGAAGTTTCACTGGGCCTAGATTCTTTTGCACCATGGCGCTAGGCAGCCCCATCCTGGTATGCCAGTCTGGCGACCACCGGCAGTTCCCTGTGTAGTCATGGACTGGACACCACTGTAATTATGGCCTGGGCCAGGGAGGAAGCTCCGTGGTACCCCAAGCTTGACTCTTTATTGTATATACAGCATGGGCCAGGTTAGTGGCCGGGTGGTCAGCCAAGCTTGGCTAGAAAATAGACATTCACCATGCAGTTAAACCAGTTTAACTGGTCATACTGACAACACACGTCGTAAATTAATAAAATTCGATTTATTTCCACAAAAAAATACATACTGCAGGCCGCAAAAATAAACAAAAACATATGTACAATGCAAAAAAAAAAATGGCATGATTTTATTCATCTGTGCCAGGTGGTTGGCGAGATTCTCCATATCTTCATGGGTGTCGGGGTTCCGGTGGCGGCTAACGTATTACCCCAAGGCATCTGAAAAAAGAATAAACATCAGTAATTAGAACCATGGCAGATTTATTTGCACCCGTCTGTTCTAAAACCGTATGTAACTAATGCCACTAATAAAAAGATATGCACTATCATAAACAGTATGAGAGGGAATATGGAAGCGTGTGCCAATCGGTTATATGGTGCCAGTCTCGCGGCAATTAAGTAGAAACCGCATGTAAGCGATTTGACGAGCGACGAGACAAGCGACGACGATCCGCTTCTCTGTCGTTCGGTCACTCGCGCGACGCGGCAAACCGCATGAAAGCGACGGGAGCAAGCAACCAAGGCGATGAGCGACGATTTCTAGAAATCCAAAAACGATGCGACAAGCGACCGTGCGAAATCTCCGCCGCTCGTCGCTGACTCTCGTCGCTCGCTTAATCGCTTACATGCGGTTCAACCTTTACGTTGCATAGCGGACGACAGACTAGGAAAACAGGAAGGGGCAACAGCAGGATCCTCTACCACAGAGGTTAACCACTGCAGTAGGGGATCTCTGAAGCTGAATGTATACACTGGCGGTTGTATTACTAGCATGGCTCTTCCAAATTGGGTTGCAAAAAGGTTCGGTTTCACATGCACCTAATTATGAAAATGAATCAAATGGTCGAGCCTGCTTACCTGGCTTGTTGGCGCCGAGACAGAGACAGCCAGTGCCCGCGCTGCAATAAGGACGGAGCGAATTCCGAACACGCCGTTCTGGGATGCAGTCATTTCGCCCACGAGCGAGTGGAACTCAGGCGGAGGACGTCATCAGCCACAGGAACCATCGGCAGAGGCAGCACTCAAGACACCGGCAAACTATCTTATTCAAACACAGCAAATTGTAACCTCCCCAAGCAGAACAGCAGCGCGAACGAAGACCTAAGTTCGCGCCACTAACGCCAGATTCGGTTTTATTTTTTTTTTTGGTTTTCGGAACTGCGCCGCCGCCGTCTCAAAACTGACGCTTCGAACGGACGCGAGGGCCGCGCTGATTGGCCCGCGCGCTCCTTGTCCTTGCACGTGAGCAGCTCTCCTCTTTCAAGGCATCCGCGCAGCGCGCAGGGAGACTGCATCATCTCCGGCCCCGGGGCACTGGCCTATTCCAGGCGCGTGATTCATCTGGAGAATGCGGGATCTTTACCGCGCTTTTCCAGCATCACGTGAGAGGCTCCCCGTCTCGGGCACTTGCGCTTGAAGCGGCTTCTCCATGCAAGCCAGGGTAGATAAAGGCCGCGGTAAAAAGCGGGAAAATTATAAAGTTCGAGTTCGACCAATTTCGACAGTTTGATTTCGAATTTGTCCGGTACAATTCCACTACAACCAGTTCATTTCGGGTGTCTGTTTTAGCTAGATACATAAAAAAGGAAGTCTGTTTTAGCTAGATACATAAAAAAGGACACGTTTTCCCTATTGAAAAAGAAAAAAAAATCCTATTTGAAAACAGTTTGGATACGAACAGGCCGTTCGTATCCAAACTGTTTTCAAATAGGATTTTTTTTTCTTTTTCAATAGGGAAAACGTGTCCTTTTTTATGTATCTAGCTAAAACAGACTTCTTGCACTCAAACGTCGCTTTCTAGTGCGAGGGCTCGTGCCACAAACCACCAAAAATATGTTAAAGGAATACTTCAACGAAATTTGAAATATTCCCGTCGTGTTCAAAAATAGGTTCAATATGATCCACAATATCCGTAAATGACAATCGCACGTTTGTATTTTGAGCCTGGTGGCTATATTTTTCGTTATAAACGGCGCACTCTGGCAAGCGCTCGGAGAAGGCCCAGCGGAGACCACGTGACATCCAACGCAGTCGTGACGTAGGTCGTCTCAAGACGAGCAAAGCTACGGCGAGGCTGACGTCGAGAGGATGGCCTAGTCGTTCCAGCCACCGAAGCGGCTGCTTTTGTACACATTTTGAGTGACGGGTTAATCTTCTATAATCTTGTAGGGGGATAATAGTGACTTCTGTGACACACAAAAGGCATTCTCGGGAAGAAGGGAGTTCCTCCTGCCCCTCTTCTCTCGTCGTGGCCGGAGGCGAGACAACCTCCGTCACTAGCGGCCAAGGTTGCTAGACGGGCATTACAAGCGAGGCGTTAGCGACATCCACCAGGTGCTCTTTGCTAACCATTTAATTCGTTTTAAAATTCCTTTTCGTGACATTTTAACACGATATTGGTATGTTCGATTTGATGGTGCTTTTTTGAACACATATAGACCAAAACATGAGCGCCGAAATTTCGTTGTAGTATCCTTTTAAGAGAACGCTCATACGAATTAAAAATAAAAAAATGGAACAAGTTAAACGAACCATAGAGTAACAGTGGCTTTCAGCGGGCATTCTGGGTCCGATAAAATACGAGCTTGAGCCACGGAACATTGCATAGCGGCAATTCCCTGACATTCCTTGGCTCACCCTATCTTCGATCTGGCAACATGCCCGAATATTGGCTGTTGCTTGTGTTGAGCGGACCAGGGAATTCCTGCGAACCACCATCGAACCCCAAAGCTTGGGAGAGGCATTGCTACCCTGGCCATTTCTGACCGAGGAAAGTCAATAGACAGCCAGGGTACATCAAATACTGGCAGCGGCCTGTTTACACTGGCCACCAATGACCAAGGAAATCGATTGGTCAACCAGGGAAGACGTTCCATGGCAGTTACGTGGCTTTCTGGAGCAAGGAAAGACTGTGAAACGCCACGCTGGCATACAGACGTAAATGGCTGGGCAGTCGTGGCCAAGCTATCACAACTGAGTGCAAACCCTGGCCCCAGCTAAACCAATCAAGTGTGCTACCTGGGATGAAACAAGGGGGCTTTCAAACATGAAATCTGTAAAAGCAGTTGCGGTCCTTCGTCAGACAAAGCGGGACGCGGCACTTCTTACAGAATATTCGGGACGTTCCTCTGCATCTTTCATACTTGCACCTTGATGGGACTGCTTGATCTCGAGCTTCTGGCCAGTGATCCAAGCCATCGTAACGGCTATCCGAGCATGGCCGCTGGATGCGCGCTGCCTTCTTGTGCGGAGGATCCATGGGAGCATCTTCAAATTCTTGTGATGGCCTCCCACGCTTTCTCTTGCTTGGCACAGACGTGATGAGGGCCTCCGCATTCTGCAGGCGGGAATGCATGAGGTCCAGTAGCCTTCACCTCCGCATGTCCGGGTGATCCTGTATGTACTCTAGCCACGCATTGCATACAGCAATGTCAACAAAATGAAAGAGTGTTCTTAGCGTCCACTTCATTGATTTGATTTTGATCCGGTACAGGCTAAGCAGGAAGTCCATCTTGTCGACGCCTCCCATATTCCGGTTGTACTTCGTAATTACTTCCGGCTGCTCTACAAAGATGTGTTCACGCTTGGCCTTGTCCCATCTTTTTACCTGCTGTTGGTTTCCGATTCCAATGAAGTTAGAAGCCACACATACGCTGCTGTTGTCCTTCCACGACACCGCAACAATATCGTCACTTGTGACATACTCAGTGGAGTATCCTCGCGTTTTCTTTTTCATTACTTTAGCTGTTTCAAGGGGACACTTGCCCAGCCTGTTACTCCGCACTGTATTGCGGCGAGTATCTTTTCGTTTCGCAGTTTTCGGAGGAGCGGCACTGACGTAAAATAATTATCAAAGTAGAGTTGATAATTACCGCCATTTAAAAATTTTAGACAGGTGTACTACAACACCAGAACAAAGGCCGTAGTCATTCTTCAGCTCAGCGGGAATTGTGTTTTCCCCCTGATAAACCCCAAAGTCGTAAAGCAGGTCGCTCCTACCGCAGAGAGCAAATACTTTGATCCCCCAAGGGGTCGGCTTGCCTTTGACATACTGTTTGATGGAATGTTGACCTTTGAAAGGAATCATCTGTTCATCAATTGACGATTCTTGTTCAATGGCAAGCTCCAAGCACCGCTGCCTTATCTGATCCAAGAAAGGGCGCACTTTCCACAGGCGATCGCCATTTTGTTCTCCAGGAGCTTCAGCAGCAATATGCAAAGTGTTGCGGAACTTGAAGAATCTTTTCTCAGACATGGTCTCGCTGATCAAGTGAACATTCATGATGGGGTCCCAGTAGAGCCTGACGCGAGGCAGAGCAGTGACACCCATCAGAATATGGATACCAAAAAGCTTCCTTATTTCTTCAGCTGTCGTGTTCACATTATTGTGGGTTTCTTGGACGCTGTAAAGATTCGTCTGTTCAGCCATGCACTTGAAAATGGATTCTGGCACGTACCTTGAAAAATACGTGTGCGGCGTACACGTTTCGTCCGGCTCAGGTAGGCAGTCGCCGTGGCCGCTGAAGTCGATATTAGGTGGGGGGTCGAACCTTCTCTTTTTCCACTGAAAGTTCTTCACAACATTTTGCTCTGGACCTCTGTCTTGCAATAGTGGAGTCTGGTGCGCATTTTCTTCGTTTTCGCATAAAGAGGTTATGCTCTCATCGATTATTTCTTGAGCAACGTCATCTTCGTCATCGCTTTCACCGACGGCGGATGTGTTCCCGGAAGCAATCTTTTCTAGTAATCGGTCGGCCGACTCTTTCGTCGCAGCATGGGGCTTTGCTTTATAAAAAGATGTGCAAGGCACTTCCAGAAAGAATGAAAAAGTCATAATACGGAACATTAGGCAGCGCATTTGGCACGCGGTCATTTTTTGCTTCCATTGTGACGCTTTGTACACAATTTTTACCATGCACTAATCGCGCTGTTGGCAAGGTGCTGTTTGCGCTTAGGCGAAATTATTTCGATCATACACAGGATAAAGCATTACAAATAGCTTTCATATTTTTTTATATCCTCGGGACAAGAAGGAAAGTCAGCAAAAATTGTTAGAATTGCCTTACCTGGCGGTGCCGTCCCGCGCGCTGCCATGTTGTCTATTTACATGTATATTTGCTTCACCACTTACTAGATGGCGCTGTAAACGCTTAGGTTGTCAGATGAATAGTAGACAAATTGTCTAAATTCATCAAAAATGCAGAGATTCGGAAACGCTCGTTCCAGAGGCCGCAGTTTTGGAATGTGCACAATTGGCTTAAGCCAATTTTGGTGTAGGCGTCAAGAAAGACTGTAATAGATAACAGAAAGTATAAAACAGAGAGAGGACGAAACACAGACGAGTACATTCTTTCAACTCACAACAAAGTTTATTTCATGGAGTGCGAACGCACGTTCCTCTGAGCAGAGTTAGGGAAAGGGGGAAAGGCCAGAGGCAGAGGGGGGAAGTAAGAGGAACGAAGGGCGGGTGGCAGAAGCGGCTGGGTGCGTGGACCGTTGGGGTCGGGCCGCTCACCGAGGTCGTCTAATCACCCCGGACAGCTCTTGGCTCAGATAATCTATCTCTATCGCAGAGGGCTAGCGAGGGGGAAGAGACATTGACTCCGGAGGTTTTTATCACAAAAGATTCGATAACTTCCCTGATGATGTCGTATATTCAGCGAACCACGCTATCAAAGCGCGCCAAACACAGCGTAAGGACACCCGAACTTTCCCCCTGCGGTTCCCTCTCGTAGAGAGAGTGACTGCAAGGAAGTCGTAAATAAAAGCCGTGTTCTCGCTTTCGACGGCATACGTTGTTTGTTTTATTACCCACGTAATTGCGCAACTTGGGAGCTCCAAAATAAGGTAATGGCCGCCTGAAAGCTCATCGTCGCCGTCGTCCGGTCTTGGCAATCTTTTTTATTTGTCTACTCTTTCCGACGACAAGAAAAAGAATAAAACAAATATAAAAGAAACACAAGTTAATATTAAGAAAATCCATTATTTTCGGGCCCACTCCCTTGGCTAGGTATAACCCGAATATTTTTCTAATTGCATTTCTTTCACACGCTGGCCTTTATAAGTAAGTTTTCAATTGTTTTCCTTATACCAATTATTCTGAATTTGATTAAGTATGCCATGCTAAATACTCGGAGAAAGACTGAGACACTTTATTTTTCATTCTTTTACCTGCCTCATCTGCTTTAGATCGAGTGCTCAAGATACGTCTTCTAAAAAGTCAACGTGACAATCCGGTCGATAGAAATCCTTGACTTTTGAATGTAGGTCTGAATTTCGAGTTCAGAACGGTGAATCACATTCAATTCTATGGTGCACTTTGATACCAGGGTTTAATACGGCCTGTGGTTGTTCTGTAGAAATCTTCGATTGGCCGATGTTAGATACACTTCAGAAGTTTTCTTCGTGTCTCGTTTGTAACAGCATGTTTTTTTTAAATTACTTACTCTCGTCGCGCCATATATTTGTTTTTGTTTTTGGGTATAGTTTTTTGCAATACTTTGTGGGCTTAATAGAGCCATATTAAACCGCTCTGCCTTTTAGATTATTGTAAAACAACTATAAATATATCGCAGTTCCACTCAAAAACTTGTTTTCTTGTATTTTTTTCACCAAAACTTATGATATGTAAAAAGTACGTTGTATAATAAAACGAACGATCAAAGTCGTTTAGTTAACCGCGGTTACTATCAAGTCAACTCATAAATTTACATGCTAGCTCAAACTAAAGTAACTGGATCGTGGGATAGTAGCTCCCAGCTCCCCGTGTAAACGCCATTTTTTGGTCTACGGAAATAGCAGCTTTCCGCGACCGAAAGCGCGCAACAGGCGCTCTTTCGGTCGCGCACCAGTCACCTAGCTGTGTTTGGAGATTTGTGTTCGTCCTTTGTCCCTCTTGTTCCCCTTCTCCAGGGATTATTTTCGTCATTCTTGTCCAGCTCGCTTGCACCTTTGCATTTAATTGCATTATAAAAGAGCAGCTTCTCGTTGATCTCTTGTATTCTTTGAGGGCCTTTGTAAATTCACTGCACACAGGTATCTTTACATATATAATTCAATATGAGGCCACAGAAGAATAAAAGAAAACAATATTCTTTTGTCCGCTCCCGGTAGCTTTCTACAGACGTTTCTTGTATTCGCGCCGGGGTGGTTCGGTGGGGCCCTCTTACGATTTCCTTTCCCCGCGTCAGGACCAGGATTTGCATCGCCGCGATTGGCGGGATTGACACCTGTCTCGCCGTGATTGGAAGGATTTGCTTCGCTGTGAACCGGCGATTGGCCATTCATTATAATAATACAGAAACCGATTATTTCGGCAAATCGCAAACTTCGAATAAAAGAAACGATCTTGGTCGCGCACGTCGCTGATACCGAGATTTTTCGTTCAAATGCCGGAAAAACAAGCGCACATTTTCGCACCGCCACCAGATTCGGCGTCGATGCATGGCGGCATTAGAAAGAACTTTCCAGTCTTATAATACGCAAGAAAAACAATGCCGTTGCATACGCAATAACAAGGATGCCATTGTGATAGATCTGTGAAAAAAGCGTGATCGATAAATTTTTTGCATGCCGAATGCCACAGGCGTACACATTCGCGAGGAGCGTTTTCAGTGCTATGATGCTCGATTGCGATCTTGGCGCGACTGGTTCAGGATGACCCTTTTGAAACTTCGAAGATTTGAATGGACTGAAGTGGCGATTGCCATGGCAACTGAGATCGGTCAACACATCACCTTGAGGGGTTTTGTAGTCTGCAGGTTAGAATCTGTGTCCGGCTAGTAGGCAGGGAAGGCATTGGCGCTAATTTCCCAGGATTCACTGACTTCAGTTCAAATCGCACTTTTTTTTGTGTTACGAGGCTTACATACGTTTACCTCAAGGTGCGACCGGAATGTCACCGGCACACCCGTGCTTCGTTCGAAACGTTGACCAGTTACATGAGAACCAAGGCACGCAGAATAGGAAGCACGGATGTACATGTAACTTTCGGCCGTGTCTTGACGTGAGCATACGTGAGCTTCGTAACGTAGAAAACAGTGCTGCGTAAACCTTCCTTAAGGTGAGAAGACTTTGATATCTGAACCAGTCTTCATTCTTAACGTTGGCTGTAATCCAACTCGGTTTCGCTAAGTTCTCGACTTCTAGAAATGTCAGCGTTTAGAAAGAGTTCAAAGAAATTCCGTCGCTGCTTGCGTGTCACGTTGTTCGAACTCCATAGATAATTTTTGTAGATTGTACGATTCCTGAAGCGGACCCAGCGGGCGCGTCCTCAATCCATGTTTCGAAGTAACGGCACGAGCTCACACTAGCAAAGTGAAACTCAAGCGTGCGGCTTCAAAAAGGTTCCTTTTAGAGACTTTTAATAGACCGTATTCTAGAGCTACGTTTTGTTAGTGAGAGCTTGTGCCGTCACTATAAAGCACGATTGAGCACGGGTCTGTTGAGCCCGCTCTCGGCAGCGTAGATCTAAAATCAGGTTACTAAAGGCTGAAATTCATGGAGCGAATATGCGGAGAAGAGCCGTCAAGCTTCTCCCGGAGGCAGGTTCGATTTGAGCGCGGCGCAACAGGCGCTCTTCTGACGCCACTCGCAGATCGAACGTCCCTTTCAGTACATTCAAGTAGAGAAGCAGTTACATTACAATGTAACGCACGGAGGCGTGGACAACGTGTAAATTTTTTATGTCTCTATGTCTGAGCAACAATTCCAGTTCAAAAGTACAGCACGAGGGTAGGGTACTTAATTTGTCTATCGAGAAACTGCAGATGAGAAGAAAAATATACGGAAAGAAACTGCGGGAGAGGAGGAGATGAAAACGCGAAGGATTATCGCAGCGCTGAGCTCTGATTGGAAGGATTAGTGGGTAAACGCAAAACGAAGCTGCCTTTGCTCTTGCCAACTCTCTCCTTTTAATGGAGCGAACAAGGACGTCTTCTGCTCCTGGCGCCGCGTCTCGCGTTCGAACGCCTTCGAACAGTGAGGAGGAACAAAGTCGGATTACCTTTCCGTCTACCCACTATCCTTCCAATCAGAGCTTTGCGTTCTGACGTACTCAGTATCATTGACGGAACCAAAACTTCAGTGAGGAATCCCAGTTGACCCTACTCCAGCGCGAGCTTCTCACCTTCGATAGCACCGCGGCGTCTTTGTCAACTTCGAGCGGGCACGCGCACTCAAAGCACGACGGAAGCGAACGAGCGCGTGGTGGGGGCACTGCCTCGGAGAGAGACGTCCTGGGCTTCTTGTCCTGTTGGTTACTATGTCATGCCAATTCACTCTAGAAGACACGCCTTTCTGGCAAAAACAGCTCCAGATGAATTCGCCGCATACCGAGGCATTTAAAATCTAGCGAGTGAGGTGTTTGTAACCACCAGAAACCCACCAAGTTATTAGACGATTACGCACACCCACGTCATTAGTTTCGTTCTGAAGTTCATGCTTCCCGAGACAATTAAAATCTAGCGAGAGGGCTGTTTGTAACCACGAAAACCCATCAAGTTATTACAAGATTAAGAACACCCACGTCATTGGCTTCGTTTCGCAGTCCATGCCTATTATTTTCAATCTAGAAAAACCTTGAATATGAACACTAAAAAATTAACATCAGTCCTTTTTTTTTCCTTCTTCTGTCTGGCCCATGACTTGCCTACTACAGTACTTTTCTTTCATTTAGCTCGGTTTGAATATCTTGAGCACTAAATATGATTAAAAAAAAGCTCGGACTGCATGAGTGAACATTTGCTTTACTGAATCCAGAGTCCTGGGCTTACACTCTTGCCCTGTCTGCATGAATGTTGTTGGGTATTGCACCAGGTGTAGTCGTTGAAACACTACTGCGTGCTTCACGTTAACAACACAAGCTTTGCAATCGTATTCCACTGGGTAATAATCGCCTTTATAAAGCGTCCATTC